CGAGAGGACGATGAGCTGCTCCGTCTTACACCACGTTGAAGTGTGCGTGAAGGACGAGGCCATTTTAGACCTTCTCACGCATGGTTTCGGATTCAGTCACTGCGCCCGCCGCGTCACCCAACGCGCGTCTCAATGGGTTCTCAAGAGCGGTGGCTGCGTCTTCGTCGTGACTAAAAGACGCGATGGAGAAGGGGTTAACGAGAACGGAAGTAGGAAGATGAATGATGCTTGTAGGAATGAGAGGGAATGGAAGAAGGGTGAAGAAAAAAGTCATACGAATGGTACTGCGGTGGACGGAGAACATTGGACTGTCTTTTGCTGCCGAGATTCGGATTCGCATACGGTTGACTCCGTATTCAACGTTGCTTTGGTGGTCCGGAATGTGGATTCGGTTACAGAGAAAGTCCAGGCTATGGGCGGCCGTATTTTAAGAGCCCCCTGTGACCTAACTGATTCTCAGGGCAAGGTCAGGTATGCAATTGTAACCTCATGCTGCGGCAACATCGTCCACACCTTGATTGACAAGGCTCATTACAATGGCGATTTCCTTCCCGAATTCGAACCAATGGATCACGCATGTATAAACGGAAGTGGAAGTACAACTAGCACTGTTAACGGTTATCATGAACATGCACAAGAAAACGAACATTCCCTGCACAGTGACAGCAACTCGGATGAGCCTTCGAGACAGCACAAAATAGAAAATGAAGTCGACGCTTCACAAAACCCGAAACATGAAGACAAAGTTTCACCTTCGCCGCCATTGTGCACCCACGTTGATCACGTGACTTACGTTTGCAGGGCGGGAGAGTCTCGTCAATTACTAGACTGGTATGAACAATGTTTCGGAATGAAGAGATTCTTCGCCAACGGGTAAGTCACATGAGTCAAATTATGGTTTTAATGCATTTTTGAGCTATTAAGATGGATGGGAGGAACTTAAAAAGGTCTTGTAGCTAAATTTCACTTTCAAAGAGGGGTTGTGAAATGTTGAACTTTAAAGCGGCAATTTAGTCTGTGACAAGAAAGTCTCGGTTATAGTGCGATTATGTCAGTCTTTGAGGATTTTGTTGTAAAATCTTATCATTTTATTTTTATAATTTTTCCCTAATGTTTTTATGATATAATCTACACAAACTTCTCTTTGATTGTGTAGTTAGAGATTCTGAACTAGACTAAACTTATATGTGAGGATAAACATGCATAAATGTAACTTTTTTTTTTTTTACTTCATATGATGATGTATATGTTCATGCTCTTAGGCCGCTTTCGCACCAAGATCGCACGTCGCAGGTAGCAAGTGGCAGATGGCAAGTGGCAAGTCACACGCGGCACGGTGATTCCAGACCAGAGTTGCACGTGGCACATGGCAGGTCGCTTTTACTTGGTTCACAAGATGGTATCGCCGGAGGATAACGATGTTATTGCTGTTCAAAGTCCTAAGTAATATTGTTGCAATCATTGCTCTCACACTAAGGTGGCATGTCGCATGTGGCATGCCAAGTGCCACTTGAAAACGAACATATTAAACCTTTTACACAGAAGTGGCATGGCACATCGCATTTGCCACGTGCGGCCTGCTTGTCACGCCAAGATTGGACTTTTTTCATCGTGCGCTCTGCCATCTCGGACAGTTTTGTCAGATTTCAATGGAACTTTTACATCCAAAGTTAGAAACCATGCGACGTGTGCCTACTCTTATACACAACTATGCCTCTTCCAGACAATGAACCGATTAACATATCATTTGTACAAACTTTGGGGAAACACAAATGTTTGTTTGATACATCAACCTAGTACAGTAAGATGCTCTCAATGGTAGAATTATCCAAAGATTTTTCCTTACAAGCATTTTCAGGGTATTTTGCCTCACGCTCTACCACGTAGTCATTCACGTTATTCCTCCAAGTGACAAATAAATAGAGATTGATTGAATAGAACTTAGGATAATAGCATCATCAACCTCCGATGATGCCATCTTGTGAACCGTGCGGCATGCACCTCATGCACCCTTGGTCTGAAATCATCGTACCATGTGTCACTTGCCACTTGCCAGCTACCATTTGCCACGTGCGATGTGCCACCTTGGTGTGAAAAGGTGATCCCATCTGCAACTACTGCACATCAATGTACAGTTGCTTGCACTCTTACCTGGTACACCTATTTGCGTTGGACAGCAGAAGCGGTAACTCTTTGTTTACTTTCTAGTACAATGTACGACTTGAATGGATTGGAGCATGAGGTCACTCTGATACAAAATTCGAAATAAAGCACTGAACTAGTTCCTTGAAAATACTTTAATAAAATATTTTGATGATTCTACCATGGAGAGTATTGTTACTGTACTAAGGTGATGCTGTACCATAAAGATTTGTATTTCTACACTTATTGTAGAACTATTATGTTGGTTGGTTTATATTCCGGAAGAGGCATAGTTATGCACGAGAGGATTTACACATCGCATTGTTTCACCCTGCAAGATCCTGTATGGTTACTCTCATCCAAAGCCTCGTTCACTGAGCGACACTTCAGAACTACTCTATGTATGCCATACATCCAAAAGTGTTAATTTGTACCATAAATTACTTGATTTTAGCTTTTAAGAATATTCATTGGCTAATTATGACTGTGGGTGTAAAAGCTCCATTAAAATCTAACAATACTGTCCGAAAAATATCGACCAATTTGGATCTCGGCGTCGCACGCAGGTCGCATGTGGCAAATGCTACATACCGCCCCAGTTCTATGTGAAAGGTTGCATATATTTCCGGATGTTCATTTTCAAATGGCGTGCCTTCTGGCATACCACGTGCGACGTGCCACCTTGGTGTGAAAGCGGCTCTATATGTTTACAAGTGTAAATAGATATTATCCTATTAAGAATACAATAACTACGTCTACAATACATCGTGTAAACCATACTACCATTATACCAGGTGTAGGTATCACCATCACTACAGCCACCACCCTCACCACCATCAGGCCCATCCCAGAATCTCACTGTCTTGCCCCTTCCCCCAGAGAGGAAACGGAGGCCGACGGCTTCGTGCTCGGGGGCAACATAGGCCTACGACTGAAGGCGATGGAGTACTGGCGGTGCGCGGAGACCGGCCTCCTCAGCGCCTCCGGGGCCTCCATGGAAGACGCGTCCCTCAAGCTGGTCATCGCTGAACCTCTGCCGGATGTCAGTGAGTTGCTCTTGCCTCCGTCGCCGTCCGTTGGTCTGCTTGGGTTCCTTGGTCTGTTTCGGCGCCAGGTTCATGCTAAGTTACTGACGGACCATGATGAGAATTTATTGATGGATTGTGTCATGGCCCAGACAGAAGCTGGGTCGTGAATCAGCCCTGTGATACAAGGAAAGGATTCATCGGCAGTGAAATTCATTATAGATAATGGGGTTTGTCAGATTATTCATAAGGAAAGAAAAATAGAAAATAGGCGGGGAAGTGGTAGATTAATGTACTGAAACAGTAGAGAAAGGCTTTCTGATGTCCTACTGGTATTCATTACTATATTTTTGTTATTATTATTTTCATAGTTATCATTACCATTGTTATTATTATTGTTGTTGCTGTTATTATTATTATTGTTGTTATTGTTATTATTAGTATTATTATTATTATTCTATTATTATTATTTGTATTATTATTATTATTGATATTGTTATTATAATTATTATTGTTATTGTTATTATTATTATTATTATTATTATTATTATTATTATTATTATTATTATTATTATTATTATTATTATTATTATTATTATTATTATTATTATTATTGATACTGTCAACGTCGTCGTCGTCCTCGTCCTCATCACCGTTCATCCTTGTTGAATCAATAATCAGTCATTAATCACCAGGCGCCAGTCTTCATCTTCATCAATCTTCCCAAATCTTCTTCATCTTCACTCTCACCTTCCTCGGTGGTAGTTTGATTTATTTTATTGTACATTTCTTCTACAAAATAGCATATCACTTTTTTTTCTTTGCTTTCTTTGTGGGATGAGTCCGTCCGTCTGTCTGTCTTTCTCTCTCTCTCTCTCTCTCTCTCTCTCTCTCTCTCTCTCTCTCTCTCTCTCTCTCTCTCTCTCTCTCTCTCTCTCTCTCTCTCTCTCTCCCCTCCCTCCCTCCCTGCTCTCTCTCTCTTTCACCCCAACTTCCACCTCCCCGTTTTTTCCTCTCTTGCCCATCCACCTACCAACCACTCCCGCCCTCGTCTTCCTTCCTCCCTCCATTGCCTCCCTGTTCACCCCCTCCCTCTTCCCTCTCCCTCAGGCACAAGTCACGTGGAGACCTTCCTGCGGGCGCACGGGGGGCCGGGCGTGCAGCACATCGGCCTCCACACGCCCACGATGGCGGCCACGGTGGCGTTCATGGCGGGGAGGGGCGTGGTGTTCAGGAAGCCGCCTCCCGTCTACTATGACGAGGTGAGGAGGAAGAATGGCTGTCTATATATATATATATATATATATATATATATATATATATATATATATATATATATATATATATATATATCTATATGTATATATATCTATATGTATATAGATAGATAGATAGATAGATAGATAGATAGATAGATAGATAGATAGATAGATAGATAGATAGATAGATAGATAGATAGATATAGATATACATATACATATACATATATACATATATCTATAATATGTATAAATGTATACATGTACAGATATATAAATATGTATAAATATATATGTATATATATGTAATTTGATATGATATATATATGTATATATATATATATATATATATATATATATATATATATATATATATATATATACACACACACACACACACAAGCATACACACATACACACACATACATATATATATGTATATATATATATATATATATATATATATATATATATATATATATATATATATATACATATATATACATATATATATATATATACATATATATACATACATATGTATAAATACATATATGTGTGTGTGTGTGTGTGTGTGTGTGTGTGTGTGTGTGTGTGTGTGTGTGTGTGTGTGTGTGTGTGTGTGTGTGTGTGTGTGTGTGTGTGTGTGTGTGTGTGTGTGTACGTGTGTGTGTTATCATTGGACTTGTTACAATTTGTTTTAGTCTCTTGGTTATGGGGTAACATATTGCTTGTTGAAGGAAGAACAGAATTTATTAAAGTACAGCAGACCATAGCCACTACTTTACTATTCTGTACAGGCTTTTCCAATAGAGAAACCATCATCAACCAAGAGAGAGAAGGAGAGAGAGAAAGAGTGACTGAGGGAAAGAAAGAACGGGAAAGAAAATATGACTGAAATAAATTTACTCTATTACCTCTAATCCTTTAGGGAGTGAAGCTCAATGAGATTGAAGAAGCAGGACATGGAAGTGAACTGTCAATGTTCAAAGACTTAGGGATTCTGTTAGACACGGAAGCAGACATCTTTTCAGAAATGGAGGAAGAGGAGGGAAAAAAGAGGTGAGACTATATAATGATATTGTTGTGATGAATGGAAGAAAAAAAACTTGGAATATGTGTATAAAAAAAAAAAAACTTGTACTGATAACCTCAACTTTTTAAATTATGTTTACAAATAATTTTTTGGTATTATTTCTTTTCCTTAAAAGATCCTCTTTCATGTATTCAGGTATCTAATGCAAGTCTTCACTGGGCCAATCTTCAAGCAAGACACATTTTTCTTGGAGGTTATACAGCGATGTGGAGCGCGAGGTTTTGGTGCAGGGAACATCACAGCTCTTGCCAAGTCTATCATCTTGTACAATGAGCAGCAACAGAAATTAAAAGCATAAGAAGTTAGACTTTGTTCTATGAGATAGAATGAAAAACGGACAAATATTATTGTGATAATTTGTGGTCTCTATGATTTTCTTTTATTTTTAGAAAGGATTTTCAAATGACAGAATGTTACTCCTGTTACCTGCCATTTATGTGTGATTTTCTTTTACTGTAGGTGAGACATTTTTGTAATATATATTTTTGAAACCATCATTTTATATTTCCAACTTAATGTAAATAGTTACTTTGGTTACCAATGATCAAAATGAGAGGGTATTAGAAGTAAAATAAAAGTCTACAATAATTTTGTATATTTATTATTTAAACACATCTTATATACAAAATTTCCTATGTACAAATTATATCTAGAAATATCTAGATATGATAAGAATTATAACATTATCTGAGGGCATGAAAGATATTATCACCAGATTTATCTGAATGGAAGATTTGAAATGAAATGCCCATGTCTTCTAGCTTTTCATTAATACTGGGATTCAGTGAATTCATATACAAGTATGGATTTACAAAAAATATTAAATAAAATAAATAAAATATATCCTAATACCTAATTAAATAGTTAAATGATGATAAATGCAGAGAGTTTAACTGAATGTCTAAACACTGAAGATTTTAAAACATTTAAACAATTATATGATAAAGGAAAATATAAGATTTATGAAGTGAACAATGAATTTTCCTCTTTGGAAAGAATAGTTAAAGCTGCTACTCATACAAGTTCTCAAACTGCTTCTAGACACAACAAATAAGAACACTGACCCTTTTATGGCTGATCTATCAAGTCACCACAAAGGCCCTATGTGCTAATGATATATTCAGGATTCAAGCTACTCATACACATTGCTTCCATGGCCAAATTGCACTTCACTACTTTCTGCAACAGTTCATCATCATATCATGACACTTCTTATTCATGTAATGACAGGAATTAATTCCCTGTCTATCACAGAACATCTTGAGTTCCTTGAGAACTTCTTTAAAAATCTGAGAAGGAGAATGACTATCTCCAAAAGTAACATTGTAACATCACTTAACACACAGAATTTTAATATATGGTTTAATCTTTATAAATGGAATAAGTATTCATTCACCTCTTAAAGATCCAGATCATACGGCTCTACTTCAACTTCTATTTAGGCAACTTCTTGAGGTGCTTGAGCTCATGTGTGAGCCAGATGGCAAAGCTGAGAGTCATTAGTGAGCCAGACTGGTGCATGGCAGCCAGGCTAGTGGGGACGTACAGCAAGAGGGTGGAGATGCCAAGGCCAACCTAGGGGAAACAGAATTATATATTATTCTTGTGCTTATGTTATAATGAGCTCCAGAGGGAGTCATTAGGCTCTGTTTGGATCTGATGTATAGCAATGACAGGATAAACAGCTAATGTAACTTGGGAAGGAAAGAGAGAAAGAAAATGGGATCTCAGGAAGGTTAACATAGAAAAAGGAAAACAAACTTTGTATAAAAAAGAAAAATGAAGATGAACTCTTTAGAAGTTATTTGTGTATGTATATATATATATATATATATATATATATATATATATATATATATATATATATATATATATATATATAAATCAAAAAACATTTTCTCTCTTTTCTAATGTCATGCATGAAAACACAGATGAAACCCTACCTGCATCCAAGCCATGCCGCCAAGAGCTGCTGCTGCTGTGTAGGCCCTGGGAGGAAGCATCACTCGCCTTGACCAAAACAACGCAGTTGTCGCTAGTCCCAGGGCAACTGTTCCCTATGGAGTTGTTAGAACTTATTATTGTTTTGACTATTTTTTTGTTTTTGTTATTGGTGCTTTTGCATTATTATGAGGATCATTATCAGTCTTCATCTATTCACTTCTTTTTGGAGAAAGAGTATTTATGAACTACCTCAAATTTTAAAACATGACCATGAATGACACCATAAATATACTGTTAGTATACTGTAATAATAATAATAATAATAAGAAGAAGAAGAAGAAAATGCACCCTACCAGGATCCTATGATCAAACTGCACAGTCGTGGGATTCTCAGTGAAGTTTCGCAGGGCAGGTGAGAATGCCAGAATATCGCTAGGGATCCATCTGTCGGCGAATTTGGGGAAGGAGTTGTACACCAAACCTGCATCCAGGCCAGCAACTAGGGCACCTGAGTGGGAGATTGGGAGTGGGAGAGTTAATATGGATTCTCCCTCTCTTACATATTAGTTGTGTCAATTTCTTTATGAGTTTTATGTGGATGTAGTATGCACTGATTGTGTATTACTTCCAATGCACATTTTATTCCCTATTTGCATACTACTTTCCTCCTGCTTGTCATACCTATCTGTCAATGTATTATTTCTTTTCTATCTTTGACTCCTAATCATTTATTCATAATGTTTTTTTTGGTTACAGAATGCAAAGGCTTTACATCAATTTCTGCGTATAGTCATCCTATGATGAAGCATTCTTTTTAAGTTTCATCTTCATTATATTAGCCAATCAACTCCCACCATCTCTGATAACTGCCACCACTGCTATGGAAAAAGATAACTTCCATAAAAATATAGGAAAAGTTAGATAAGTAACAGGAGGAGATGAAAAGGTGAATCCTCAATATGATATACTGGTAGGTGGGCAAATATCCAATACAAACACTATCAAAAGTTAATAAAAGTTTTACACTCATATGAATATATACATATACATTAATCAAATACAATTATACTCCATCTCAAGATAGTAGGTGGCTTACAATTAACCCATTGCCGACAGGCAAGCCATGCCATGCCCACTGTGAGTTTTTACACATAGATGGTTGCACTTGTACTAAGACATCAATGAGCCAATTACGAGTACTGCCTGTCTCACCCGTTCACCCTTTTCTTTAATTTATGAAAATATTTTACATTATCTTATTTTGCTATTACTAATGTTTATAACATTAGAGTAATTATAGAGTAATAAAAATAACACCATCGATATGTATAGCACTAGTAGAAAATACATTTTCCCGCCAATTCAAGGAAAGGTGAAATCAGGCTAAGCACTAGCAGAGCCATCTATGTGTAGAGATATTTCACAAAAAATATAAAAAATGAGCACAGCATTATCCCCATTTTTTATTAATTTCCCCGGCGGCAATGGGTTGAAAGTTTCAGAAAATCTTCACCTCGTCCAACTCACCTGAGAGGGCTGTGAGGAACACCCATCCTTTGGTGACGTGGGCAAACTTGCGAAACTTCATTGCCTGTGCTGTAACCTGTGTGGGAATCCAAGGAAGTTGAAAAGAATTTTTTTTTGAGTGTGTGTGACTGTTTAGTTCTAATAAGGAATGTGGTTTCTGAAAATATGAAATATATTTACACTATTTCACCTGTACATTATTAGGATATAAAATTCATTTCACAGGAGAAAGATGTATTTCAATATATTTCCTCTTTTTGCTCCATCATTCATCAATATTTTCAATTGACTGTTAGTGCTTTCCATACTCCCTTGAAAAATAAAGAATATATATTTTAATCTGTCTCCTCCATCTCCTCTCCTGTTTGCCCCTCAATCTTTTCCTTCACCCCTAAACAGTGCACTCACCTGCTTGAGCTTCTGTGCTGGATAAGTGACATCGAGGGCATTCCACAGGAAGATACTGTAGAGGACAAAGGCCATGCCCAAGTGGGACATTAAGCGGTACTGCGATACTCTGGGAACATCAGAGGGGTCCTTGAAGCGATCTTCTAAACCAGATTTGACCATGTACCAGCCTAGGAGGCCCTGCAGTTGTTCAGTGGGCTTAATTAGAACAGATGATCTTTGGTATTTGGGTAGAATACGAGTGAGAGTTAAGGAGATAATAATGGGTGTGAAAATATAATGATCTAATAATAGTAAGCATTAATGGATCATTGTGACATTTTAATTCATCCTTAATAACAGTAACGATATTAAAATATCAAACTAAAAATGATAATTAGGATGATAACAAACAGAAACACACAAGCTTGACTACCAATACAAAGAGCTATTAACTAATAGTTCACTTGTAAGTAAGCAACACAGACCTGGCAGCCAATGAGAACTCCACAAGCCAGCACTCTCTTCTTCATCAAGCGTGTGAACCAACCCTTATGCCAGAAGTAAGCGGCAGGCAGCAAAAAGAAGGTGCCGATAGTGCGACCCCACTGCCTGTGCCCATATTCCATCCACCAGATGAATTTGAACTCTGAGAGGCTCATTCCCTGGTTTTTCCTGAGGGATGAGAATACAATTAATGAGTTTAGAAGGAAGATTAACCCCTAAAAGGTTGCTACTTTCTAATGTAACATTATCAATTTATAAATTAGACAATAATAGCAATGATGTGGAGCTGTAGTTATGATATTAAGAATGATAATGATGAATGATAACAATAATAATATCAATAATAATAATAATAATAACAGTAACATTGATAAGTAATGATATCAACAAAAGTACAGATGGTAAAGCTGTCTCCTCCTGTGGGGATGCAAAGAGACATTCAATTCTGTCCGTAGCTATTAACAAATTTCATATAACAAACCCATGGAACAGAAATGACCAGATATATCACCTGTTTTCAGAAGTAACACTAATTTCAGCCTTAGAAATGTAAAGAAAAAAGAAAGATAGAGAGAAGAAGAAAGAAGGAAAGAGAAAGAGGGAGAGAGAGAGAGAAAGAGAGAGAGAGAGAGAGAGAAAGAGAGAGAGAGAGAGAGAGAGAGAGAGAGAGAGAGAGAGAGAGAGAGAGAGAGAGAGAGAGAGAGAGAGAGAGAGAGAGAGAGAGAGAGAGAGAGAGAGAGAGAGAGAGAGAGAGAGAGAGAAAGAGAGAGTTAAATTATACATTCATGATTATTAAATGTGAAAAAAAATTCATGGTCTAGGTGAAACTGAATGGTGGGGAGGGTAATGCTTTATAAAATTGAGCAAATACAGTGTCAGTGATAAATAAAGAGAGAAGAATAAAAAGACAGAGAGAGAAAAAAATATAGTTTCAGGCTTACAATTTGTATTCAGGGAATTCTTGATACTGGGCAAATTCACGCTCCCACTCTGCCTCAGTCAAGGGAGGTCGTTTACCAAATAAATGCCAGTCTGTCATTGATAAGCCTGACTCTGTCAAGCGTGTCAGCCCTCCTGTGAAAGAGAGGAAGGTGTTAGGCACATATAGAAAACAAGACTTCCAGGAAACAGATACTACTAGACCATCAATTTCTTGATGGTAATCTACAATCATTGATTTCATATATGCTTTTGTTTAACTGAATTTATTTTCTAGAGTTCTTGCAAGGCTAGATGGGAAAGGTTCTCAATGTCTGTGCCTTACTAATATTCTTTAAACAATAAAGAAAGAAGTAAATGGAAAAGAAAGAAAGAAAAAAAATAATTTGATTTGAGTCTGATTTTTCTCATATTTATGTCAATGCTTAATCATTTTTTGGTAGCTTGGTAATTATAAAATTTCTAATGGGTGATTATCTTTAACTTCTGTGCATATTCATTTCACAGTAACCAAATAAGTTCAAAACATGTCATTATATAACCTCCCTAAAATAAAGTACTTGTACATGTACATGTATATGTGTACATGAATATGTATATGCATATACAGCTGCACGCACACGCACACGCACACGCACACGCACACGCACACACTCACAATAAATCCGAACCAACCTATGACGACGGCCCCAAAGACCATCCCTGAGCAGCCGAAGAGCCATCGCCCAACCCACTTCCTCCCGACGGTTGGGATCTCTTCTATGGCTACTTTCTGGGTTGTCTCGGCTGCGACAGTCACAGTGGTCCTTGCAAGAACTGGCCGGATGTGGGATACCTGTGGCGTGATTGGTATTTTGTTGCAGAAATTAAGAGAATACTAAAAGAATATTTTCAAAAATTAGCTGTACTGTGAAATGATGAAGGAGTTGCAATTAAGAAAGAGAAGAAAGGCTAATAAATAGCCATGGGCACTGCATGACAATAATACACTTTCTTATGGACTGATGCTAAATCATCATTATCATGTTCTATTTGATGTGAAGAAAAAGGATAAAATATATAAGAGTAGGAGCGCATTATGAAGATCTTACATGGAAACTTATGCGGATGAATGATTTTGAATGTTTAACTTAATCTAATCAATTGCTTAAATATTGGTATAAATTTAGCAACTATCCTTACACCACATGTATGGCCTGTGCACCTGTCAGCACTTTGGAAAAGGCCAATAAACCCCACCTCTCTGGTACCTTACTATCACATAAGGAACCAATGCACACTATCTTCCTAGAATATACCAAGTGGGAGAGGCAGGTCATCATAACGCCTGTGCAAGTATTGTATAAGACTTCACATTCTGTAAATCACATCACAGTTCATAACAAAGATACAAGTGGATTTCGACAAAACCCTGAAAACACAATGTTAAAGCATGCTTCTTTTCAGGTAACCCTTTAAATGACAAAATAGTAATAACTTTGAATGACGTTCTCGGAATTTTGACAATTTACTTCGAATCTGATTTGGATTGAATAACAAGCTGCACTGATGAAAGAAAGCAGGCCATGCACAAGTGTTATTTAACCCGATTAAGTGAAGTAATGCTAAAACACAGATTATATACCAATCAAATCCGATTGCGTAAACATAAAATGTGAACCAAAATATAATAAACAACTCATCTTCACCTTCAAACCCCTACAGAACCTCGACGCCAAGCACAGAGCACTCATGGTGGATTCTTCTGTATTTCTCCTCTTTAATTCCTCAATCCGACACTTCTTCCCTTCTCTTTCCTCGCTTTCTCCTTAATTCTCCTTCGCCCTTCCTGTCGCCGCCTTGCCCACCGGACTCCAGGCACGTAATGATGTAAGTCTGTCTGTGGCGTTCTCGTAAGGCCGGATTTTCCTAAAAGAACGACGGAAATATATATTATTTATTCTTTTACTTTTTTGTTATTTGTTGATTATATTTGTTTGGAGGTATTCTGGATGGTAAGGTTAATTTTTTTCTGATAAGCGCGATCTTAGTGGAAACATGATTATTTGCTGCTTATTAAATCTGCATTGATTATCGCACGTACATATGAAATATTTTATCTCTCTCTGTTTAGTGTGTTTCTAGTGAAAGGTGTAATAGAATATTCAGAATGTATGAATGCATATAGAATGGAGAGGCTTCGTTGAGAAAAAAGAAAGAAAGAAAAAATTAAACAATTGTGATGTAACTTGTGTGAATCATAAAGATCACATGTGCTTCCTATTATTTTCCTTTGATTCTTTATTTTTCATATTATCCGTTTTATAATATACTACAGTGTTATGAAGAAGAAAAAAATCTAATTGAAATAATAATAGGTCCGTTGTGCACGTACCTCATGTAAACAAAAGGCTGAAGAGCATCTTTTGAGGAGCTCGGCACTTCGGTAAATATTCAATTTACGGTTTTTAAGTCTGCTAAAGAATAATATCTCACAAATCAGTGAACACGATTGCTTAGGTCACAGCCAGTTTGATGAATTTCTCTGTTCATTTATTAGACAGTAGCCAACTTGCATAATATTTCCATTAGTGTGGAAACTGGTAAATTATGGTCAGCAGTTCTGGAATTTCTGAAAGAATAGAGGTAAATCATACCAAAAGGCTCTTGTGGCTGATACCATGCTGCGGGTCTGTCCTGCCCATTTTTAGAAGGAAAGAATAAGATTGCATAATCTTACTTTTTATGGAATTTTTGAGTCTATCGGCCATATTATTATACTTTGCTGGGGATTGGCTTTCCCTTAAGCCAGCTCTCTCTGCACATTTCTGTAACATTTAGGTTTGGTAAATTTGGAAATGATGCCTGACACTGATTTCCAGGCAAAAACTATCTTTAGCTGAAAGCTCTTGTCATGTATTGAACAAATCTAGCACTCATTTCCTTTGCAAATGAATCACAGCATGATATCAGCCAAGATATCTGGAGAGGGCATGGGAAATTGCAGGATAAAAGCGAATGACTGAAATAAAACTTTTAGTAATTTAGTTATTATGAAGCGCATTCGTAGTAACTAGGGGGCTCTGCCCCTTAACCCCTCAGTGATGGTATCAGAAATCTCTCGGTGTCACTGACTCTAGAAACTTTTCCTGCCATTTGGCCCGGGAGTCTGTTACATGTAACGGATATTTCCACTCAGTGCACTCTTTGTATGTTCCAGTAGGATAGACCTCTGGCAAATACCTGGATCTTGCACTGATAATTTCTAACCTTGACCAATAAATCCACAATGGCAAGCCTACAAGCCCTCAAAATCTTGATCGTCAGTGTTGGCGTGAATTGTGACCCCTATCCACCACTTTTTTTTGTTATTGTCATGATATTTTTCAAGTTAAAAGCACCTGAGTCTCAGACTAGCCATGACCAAACTGATTTGAATTTCAACTGACTTCCCTTGAGCCCTGCTTCTCTTGTCATGTCATTATCTATTACAAATCTTATTGGCTCTAATAGACTGGTCACTAATGTCTGTTATCATGTGGCCAATTGTAATTCCCACTGGCTCATTTGATTTCCTTTGCTTATGTCATCTGCTACAGTTCTGTCGGGTTGTTTTGTCTCTTCCTCACTTTTGCATCATTTTTTCTTGCTGCTGGAAGAGTGAGAGAGAGAGAGAGAGAGAGAGAGAGAGAGAGAGAGAGAGAGAGAGAGAGAGAGAGAGAGAGAGAGAGAGAGAGAGAGAGAGAGAGAGAGAGAGAGTGTGTGTGTGTGTGTGTGTGTGTGTGTGTGTGTGTGTGTGTGTGTGTGTGTGTGTGTGTGTGTGTGTGTGTGTGTGTGTGTGTGTGTGTGTGTTATATATGTATATATATATTATGGGAAATTCACTTTAGAATATAAGGATATCATTGTATATAGCACAAAGTAAACTGCATAAAAATGATAGGAGAATTTTACAAAATAACTTCATTAATGAAATAACCAAAAACTTTAAAAATTTAAGGCTTATCTTTAATTGCTGTTATCATGACCATCATTTGTATGATTTAAGACTTCCCAGGGAGTTTATCATCAAATATGGAACCAAATACTGTTTTGCTTGTATTGTATGTAGGTCTGAAGGAGATATATATTTCATATACAGTAAGGGTAGTTGTTTCCAAAGTTACTAATATCATTGATTATATCCTGGTGTAGTAATGAGCAAATGTGATCATCATTATCTTAAATTACAGCTAATTTTCATAGATATTTATGACATGAATGTTTGTTGTCCACAGCACAGATGGCAGCCCCAGTTAGCCAGAAGGAATACCTTAAACGTTACCTGAGTGGTGGTGATGATGACAAAAAGAAAAAGAAGAAGAAAAAGAAGGACAAAAGTGCAACATCAAGTAAAGGGTGAGTTTATTTCCTTCCATAGGTTTTGAAATTTAAAGCTGGGAAAAGGAAAAGGGAACGAGGAAGAATGGGAATAGAAGGATGAGGAAAAAGCACTAGGAAATGGGAGACAGAGAAGCAAACTTGGGAAGATTCATGGATAAACAGAGAAAGGAAGAAAGTGATACAAAGAAAAATTGGATTAAGGAGAGAGCAAGGTACTAAATGAAAATCCTAGTTGCCAACTGACAAGCTAAACCTCACCTACTTGTCATCATGTGCCATGAATGATAATGGGATTCCTTTTATTTAAAATCATATTTGAAGGAGAATTAGAGAGGGGGAGAAGAGAAGAGGGATGGAATTCAGATTTTTTTTTTTTTTTAATGTTCCAAAATGTTTTATATATAAAATACATATGATGAAGTAATACAGCCTCCTTCTATTCCTTTACAGAATGAGGATCATTGAAGATAATTTAGGCCTAGACAATGTTCCCTATGGCTACACTGAAGAGGATGATAACCCTACAATTGCAGAAGTGACATATGAAGATGATAAGATAAAGCACATGGAGGAATTTGAAAAGAATAAAAAATGGAAGAAGATAATTACAGACCAAGAGAGAGAGAACCAGGAACGCAAGAGAGAAGGGGATGACATCTCCTCTCCGCGGAGGCACAGGCATGACTCACAGTCACCTTCTCCTGAGAGGTTTAACTCAGATATTGGAAGGAAGCAAGATTCTCATGAATCACCGCTGAGAAGGAGAAGACATGATTCAGATGACTCACCACCGAGAAGAAGACATGATTCAGGTGAGTCTCCCCCAAGAAGAAAGAGACATGATTCAGATGCTTCGCCTCCAAGAAAAGTTGGAGATCCAGATGCTTCACCTCCAAGGAGAAAAAGACATGATTCAGATGCCTCCCCTCCTAGGAGAACAAGACATGATTCAGACACATCCCCTCCTAGGAGAACAAGACATGATTCAGACACATCCCCTCCTAGGAGAATGAGGCATGATTCGGATGCATCTCCTCCTAGAAAAAGAAATATTAATGCCTCGCCTTCACATAGAAAAAGGCATGACTCAGATGCATCTCCTCAGAGAGCTGATTCGGATACATCACCTCCAAGGAAAAGACCAAATGTTCCTGTTTCAACCTCACCACCAAGGAGAAAGAGGAATGACTCTGACTCATCACCAGTCCGTAGAAAGAGAAATGATTCAGATGCATCACCACCAAGGAGGAAGAGAAATGATTCAGATGCATCACCACCAAGGAGGAAGAGAAATGATTCAGATGCATCACCACCAAGGAGGAAGAGAAATGATTCAGATGCATCACCACCAAGGAGAAAGAGAAATGACTCTGATTCATCACCACCAAGGAGAAAGAGAAATGACTCTGACTCGTCGCCTCCCCGACGGAAGAGAAATGACTCTGACTCGTCGCCTCCCCGACGGAGGGGGAATGACTCTGACTCTTCCCCACCAAGAAGGAAAGGGGCACCTCAAAATAGCTTGCCACCTCCAGGTGCTTACAAGGAGGAGCGCCTTGAGCGCAAGATGACCACCCAGGAATACCTGCGGGCCAGGAAATTTGGGAAGCTGAAAAAGGATACCCCAGAGGACCTGGCCCGGAAAGAGCGGGAGGCAGTGCTTCAGAAGAAGGCTGAGGTGCAGCACCAGCAGTGGAAACACGGTGTCAAGCAGGTGCAGGCCTATCAACAGAAGTTGGAAGATGACCAGCATGAGATGGGTAAGGCCTTTGCACGAATGGCGGACGATGTGGACATGAACAGCCAACTCAAGCAGGTCACACGCGAGGAGGACCCTATGTTGGAATACATGATGAAGAAGCAGATGAAAGAGACCAAACAGCCCCTGAAGCCCTTGTATAAAGGCCCTTTCCCTCCAAATAGATTTAACATCAGACCGGGATACAGATGGGACGGTGTTGACCGTTCCAGTGGCTTCGAAAATCAGTGGTTTGAGAGACAGAACAACAGGAGAGCAGTTGAGGAGGATGCCTATAAATGGAGTGTTTCTGACATGTAGACTTGGGGCTTAGAATCATCAAAACTCATATTTTGGAATATTTTATTTCAAATCTGATAGATCTTCACACTAATTTCAATGTATACACATACACACATACAATATATATATATATATATATATATATATATATATATATATATATATATATATATATATATATATATATATATATATATATATATATATATATATATACAGTAAGTCCCCAACTTAAGAACATAATGGGGACCGAGAGGCTGTTTGTAAGTTGATTTGTTTGTATGTCGAAAGTTGGGTCTCCATTACCTTTTTTCCCATTGTTTTAAAGTTTTGTTTACATTAAGAATACCTGTAAATAAATCCCAATACCTGTAATATGTAATGCTTTTAATATTAGTTGATGGTGATTCATACAACTTTAATGTAGAAACATAAATTATTCAAAAAGAAAATATATTGTAGTGGTGATGGCAGGTGACTGAAGCGAGTGACGTGCACAGCTGAGTGAGTGTGGCAGCGCAACGGTGTGTCAACTCGTGAACTATATTCGCACCTGGGAAATTTGCAAGCATCTTTCAAACAATTTTTTGGACTTTAATATTTAAAAATTCTTGTTCGTATGTATGGAATGTTCATAAGTAGAATGTTCTTAAGTAGGGGACTATGTGTATATATATATATATATTTTTTTTTTTTTTACACAAAAAATAATAAAAGAAAAAATATAATATATATACATATACATTTTTATACATATAGACACATACATATACATACACATGCATGTGTACATATATATATATATATATATATATATATATATATATATATATATATATATATATATATATATATATATATATATATATAGATATATATATATATATATATATATATATATATATATATATATATATATATATATATATATATATATATATATATATATATATATATATATATATATATATAAGTATATGTAGATATACATAAATACTTATATATATATATATATATATATATATATATATATATATATATATATATATATATATATATATATATATAAGTATATGTAGATATACATAAATACTTATACATATATATACGTATATACATATACATATATATACATATACATATACATATATGTATGTATAAATGTATATGCATATATACACATACATACATATAAATATATATATATATAAATATATATATATATATATATATATATATATATATATATATATATATATATATATACATATATATATATACATATATTATATATATATATATATATATATATATATATATATATACATATATATATATATATATTTATATATATACACAGATATTTAAATACATGTATACATATATATACATACATACATGAGTGTGATGTGTAAACATTATTTATTTGTGGAGGTAATTCTGGCACATGGGAAATGATCTTTTATTAAGGTTATGAAAAACTACAGTAGCTCTGTACAGACAAGTTTATTTAGAAATGAAAGAAAAAAAAATTGCTGTAAGTAATTTTTTCTTTGAAAAGGGGATATCCTCAAATAGTAGACATTCTTATATTTTGTCAGAAATGATAACAAGTTTTATATGTACTTTTTTTTCAAAAGAATAAATATCAGTTTTTAAATGTTATTTAATTCCCCTTCCATGTTTGTTCAAATTTATTTGTTTCAATATATTCTTTAAAGTGAATGAAAAATAAGACATATGCCAGTAAACCATAACATGACTGTAGCCGTAATGTTAATATGTCTCAAGCTCTCCTGCTTCTAAAACAATGTAACTCTGGGTATTCATGTTCAGTAGACTTTATCTTGCATCAGTTCACTCTAACATTATATCTCTGGTACTTGTCCTTTAGCAACTGGTCAGAGAATATTAGATGCAGGATACATATTTTTCTGTTTATCTCTTGAATATTCCCAATCTCTTGCTCCTTGTTGTTTTGGGGCTACTTAGGAGACGGAAACTGAGGCCCAATGTGGAGAAACGCCCCTACCTTAAACCTCAGCCCTTGCCTCAACTAAATTTACTTTCCCCCTTTCCTTTTCCTTCTCTTCTTTTTCCCCTTCTATCCACTTCCAAAGGTGTGACAGTCATGCTGAGAGGATGAAAGGCTGGAGTTGTTGGGTAGGGAGCAAATGATAGTTTTAGAGGTAAGAATCCAGACAATAAGATAGGGAACAGGGGAAGGTGGTGAAATATCAGGATGAATGTCAGGAGTGGAAGGATCCAGAAAAGGACACTCTTGTGACATAAGGGAGTCACATGAGCATCCAGGTAGGAGTGGTAAGGATAAAGGGGAAGAAAGAGGGAATGGTGATGCACATGGAGAAGGAGAGGATGGGGTGTTTTGGGGGAGAATGGGAGGAAGAGGGGTAGGGGGAACTTGAGTAGGAGGACGGATGTTGGTAAACACTTTGAATGTAGAGCGAACAGGAATAGAAGAATTGGAGGGTGTTTCTGGACGGGAGTTGTGTGGGGGGGTCCTGTTAAATACATTATGGGATCTACCACAATTTGCACATGTGTGTGACTGAGCTGTGTGATTTGAACAGTCATGACCAGGCCTGGCACATAGAGAGCAACAGGCTGTGGAGTGACAGTTTTTGGCTGGTTGGCCAAAATGCCAATATTTCTGACATTGAAAGGGTTGTTATGATCAGACATAACAGGATTTAGTTTGATTCCATTTGTTACAATGGATATTCTTGGTGTGACATACTGTCTGTTTTATT